CCCTGGGGTGAGTCTCCATGTGGCTCCTCCAGCTCCAAGGCTCTGACTGCATCAATCTAGCTCCCTGTGGCTTGTCAGTGGGAAGACAAAGCAGAAAAAGAGAACATCTGGCCTCCAGTGAGCTATTTATCTCCTTTGCAACTCGAAATGTGGTCACCAAGCTGCAACCTGATTGACAGGCTACACTCCACCCTTTTGCAAGTTGACAGATTATGTAATTGCCAAACATATATACCCAGTTCTAATTACATGTAGGTAAGCTCCAAACTAAGTTTTGTAGGAAAAAGTATTTTCCCTAAAAAACTGTAGACCAGTATATATACTCTAATGACCTGAAAGAATGAAGCCACCAGGCAGACTTTTTTGTCACTACCAGTATATCAGGGGCAGAGTTTTAGATTAGGAAAATCAGCCTTTGTAAACCCTATAGAACACAGCTCTACTCTGACAGACCTGGATTGCTGCAAGTTGAAATTGACTAGATGGGAAATCCATGGCTACTAATTACTATTGCTTTAAAGGAGGTACTGGGTTATGCAATGAGTTTATGCATTTGGTTACTAGCCAAGGTGTTGTTGTTAGGTACCATCGAGTTGGCTCTGACCAATTGCGACTCTATGAACAACAGAACAAAACACTGCACTGTCCTGTGAAATCTTCACAATTGTTCCCAGGCGTGAGCTCATTGATGCACTGTATTAATTCAGCTCACTGAGAACCTTCCTCTGTTTCTCTGATATGCCACTTTACTAAGCATGATGAGGGACTGATCTCTTCTGATAATATGTCCACAGTATGTAAGACAAAGTCTTGCCATCCTTGCCTCTGAGGAGAACTCTGGATTTACTTCTTCCAACATGGATTGGTGTTGTTAGTTTGAGTCAACAGAGGGTTTTCCTAAGAAAACTCTGGTGAACTACTTCTGAAGCCTCAGCCATAGAAAATCCTGTGGTGCACAGTTCTACTCTGACACACATGGGGTTGCTAAGAGTCAAGAATGACTAGTTAGCAACTAGTGTGGGTTGTATTACTTTACAAAGATGTGAATGTAAGAAAATTGTATGAAGTTTGAGTCTATGCAGTGACAACCAGTTGGTGTGCTGACAGAATTTGAACAGATACATATTTGATTGTGTTAACATACAGATCTAAACCTTCTTTCATATAAGTCTGAGCTGAGTGGTTTTTATATATATATTTTTTTCAAGTATCACAATGTTTATTGATAGATACAAGTATATAAAATCAGGGCATGAACATGACTTGATAAATTAAGTAGACTTAATTTCAATACTATAATAAGAGGGACCAATTAAAATTCTCACCATTTGTTTCACACCCACAAAAACGAGTGGTTTTTATATTTTAAAAGTTTAAAAAAATCCACCAGAAAGCAACCAAAAGAAGACATAGCAATAGAGACATTAAGTGGCTCATAAAGTCTAACAAATTTACTAATGAATCCTTTGCAGAAAAAAAGTCTGGTGATGATATAAAACAATACTTGGTTTTTCAGTTCTTGCTATGATGTAAATCATAGAATAATACTTTTGTCATAGAATCATAGCACTGTGTTCAGACATATTTATTGATACTTCTTATTGGCAAAACACATTTATATTGGAATAAACATAGTCATATACAGGAGAATAAGGGGGGTCGGAATGGAGACCCCCATCAGTAGACAATTGTACATCCCCTCACAGAAGGGTCACAGAGAAGGAATGAGCCAGCATGCAGTATAGCACCAACAAAACACACAACATTCCTTTAGCCCTTTCATAGTTCCTCCCTGCCTCCCCTGCATTTTACAAATCTGGCTAGACCAGAGCAAGTACACTGGCACAGACAAGAACTCTCAACACTAAGAATCCAGGACAGATAAACCCCTCAGGACTGATCATGAGAGTAGCGATACCAAGACTACAGGGGAAAGGTGGTGGAAGAAAGGGAACCTGATCTTAATGATCAATGTGCAACACCCTCCCCCACCCCCACCCCCTCCCCAGGGTGATGAACAACAGAAATGTGGGTGAAGGGATATAGCAGACAGCTTAAAATATGAAAATAAAACTAATTTTCCCACCCATGAGGGTGGGAGAAAGAGGGAGCTGATACTAAGCGCTCAAGAAGATAGAAAATGGTTTGAAAATGATGATGGCAGCATGTATACAAATGTGCTTGATCAAATTGATGTATGGATTGTTATAAGACCTGTAAGAGCCTTCAATAATATGATTTATTAAAATAAACGAGGTGTCAGCTAAATCCACATGGAAGAAACACACAAGCATGTGTGATCCAATAATTGTAAATTAAAAAATTCAAATGCAGAGAAGGGAATGGAAGCTGTAGATGATGGTAAAAGCCCAAAATTCATTTTTAGGGTCTCCAATGTGGGTCAAGCCTCTGACGAATCCCCTCTGACTATGGACAAGACATGGGAAAGGCCTTGTTCTCAGAGAGGAAGTCTTGCTGTTCTTGTCTCTTAGGAGCATTCTGGTTGTACTGCAGCTAAGATAGATTTTTTTTTGTTCTTTTGACAGTTCATGGTACTTTCAGTATTCTTCACCAGCACCCTAACTTGAAGACATTGATTCTTCGTTGGTCTTTCTTATTCAGAGGAGATCAGCTGTGTTTAGGGTGGCAGGGCGCTAGACTGGTCTTCCTTATTCATTGTCCAACTTACAGATGCATATGAGGTGATTGGAAATACCATGACCTGGGTCAGGTACACCTTAGTTCTCAAAGTAACATCCTTCATTTGCAACACTTTAAAGAGGTCTTGCGCAACAGATTCACCCAGTGCAATGCATTGATCTTTTGCCTTCTGCTTCCATGAGCATTGAGTATGGATCCAAGCAAGACTAAATCCTTGAGAACCTCATTTTCCTTTTCCATTTATCATGAGGATACATATTGAACCAACGGTGAGGATTTTGGTCTTCTTGGCATTGAGCTGTAACCCATACTGAAATACAATCTTTGATCTTTATCAGGAAGTGCTTCAAGTCCTTTTCACTTTTAGCAAGCAAGGTTGTGCCATCTGTATTTTACAGGTTTTAATAAGCCTTTCTCCAATCCTGATGCTACAGTCTTCATATAATCCAACTTCTCTGATTATTTACTTGGCATGCAAATGGAATAAGAACAGTGAGAAAATACAACCCTGACACACAGCTTTCCTTATTGTAAACCATGCTGTATTCCCTTGTTCTGTTTGCACAATTGCTTTTGATCCATGTGCAAGTTCTACATGAGCATAGCTTCCAGCAACCTAACAATTTTCAGACCATCATAGTATGTAACACTGAAAGACACTTGGTGGGATTAGTAAGGCATGGGGATATTAAACAATTAAAATTATGCAAATCATTATTTAATTAAAATCTTATATTACACAAAGGTACTATGGAAAGATGTGAAAGGGGTATGTTAGAGGTCATTGAAGACTTCTCTGGATAAGTAATTCAATCCAAAGTTTTATGATTATTTGTATCATATTGGGGCTGTGGGGTGGGATGACAAGTAATGAGGGAACAGGGCTTCTACAGGGATGCTATAAGCTTTCATTTCCTTCTGTAGTATTTTATGAATAAACAAGCTAAATAAATTCCTGAAGCTTAAAGAACTAGTGGTGTCAAATGGACTTGAAACTAGGCTCATGGCCTTAACCCTGGCAAAGATTACAATTTCATCATAATCTAGGGACACAAAAAACACTATTGATGGGCTTTGGGTCCACTTTGCCCTCCCCCTCATTCCCATTGATATGATTTTGTTTGTTTGTTTGTTTTGTTTTGGGTCTTTGGTGCTTGATACCTGATGAACAGCAGAACAGTGGGTGAAGTGAGACAGCAGTTGGTGTAAGACATGAAAAAAAAAAGAAATTATCAAGGGAACATGGGGGAGGAAGTGGGGGAGGGAAGAAAAAATGAGGAGCTGATACCAAGGGCTCAAATAGAAAGAAAATATTTTGAAAAAGATGACAACATATATACATATGTGTTTGACACAATAGATATATATATGGATTGTGATAAGAGCCTCCAATAAAATAAAAATAAAATAAAAAGACTTCTCAGGTTTATTGTGGTAAAAAGTGATCTCTCGTGTTTATTGTGCATATTTCATCATGTTTAGTGCAATACCATAAACCTTGAGAAGCATCGCACAAACAATGCTGGGAATGCTCCAGAAAGAAAAGTCATGATGTTACAAGAATGCTGAGTTGTTTGATACATGTCGCAGATGGAGATCTACAATTGTCATTGCCCATCATTTCAAGATGAATGCATCCAGCATAACAAACATGTAAAAAAGGAAAAGGACGTTTGTGAGACTGTTGCTGCAACAATACTGTAAGCAGGTGTTGAAAACTGCACTTTTTGCAAAATGTCTTTTTATCTGACATTGAAAATGCAGCTTTTATGTGGATTCAGTATATAATACATACACCATACATAATATGTATTAACTGACTGTGTTTCATTGGTGACCATTCCGATCAACACTAGGCTATTCATAGTTATGTTCTTGGTGAGCCAAAAGTTATATGCTCTTTTTTGACTGTGGTGGGGTTTGGGGTCCCCAACCTCTGATTTTTTTCTTGGGTCAACTGTACCTCTTCAGAAAACTATTTGCAGGGTAAATGCAGAGAAGCAGGATAAACAATGAAATCCAAAAGGTCGGGGCTTCTTCGGATGGAAGAAGGTGTACTGCTTACTATGGTTCATTGTCTCTTGGGCAGGAGGTCTTTTGAGGTGGAGAAACATACCAGATCTGCCTCTCCACACGTGGCATTTCGTGCACAATAATCTCTGAGCTATTTGTTATTTCCCCACTCTGAGTGTGAGAGGTTCCTCTCGTGTAGCAGGTAGTGGCCTTGGAAACAGTGTTGCTCCCTTGCTGTGTTTATCAGGCTCCTCTCCTCTGGGGGCTGTCTGAGCTCCGTGCTCTGCCAGCACTGTCTCTAATGACCCTGTGTCTTTCCTCCGCAGGGCGGACTCTGCTGGAGAAGTTATTCAGCCAGCAGGAAAACGGGCCTCCAGAAGAAGCAGAGAAGTTTTGCTCCCGGATCATCGCCATGGGTCTTCTGCTTCCTTTTAGTGATTGCTTCAGGGAACCGTGTGATCAGAATATCCAGTCAAGCTCGGCTCCATTCGATGTGAGTAGGAGAATTAGCTTCTGCCTATAAGACAGTTTGCAGTAGAATGAACAGCTCTGTGTGGGTTTCCCCAGTCATGTATAATTAATAAAACAAAGCTGGGACACCTGCTTTCTTTTCTGCAGCAAGGTATTATGTCTGATTGTATAGTTTTGGCGTGCTGGGGTATTCATAATTATTTCCCTATACTCAGCAAGTGTCCTTTTAGAAAAACCGGTGGTTGCTCTTTTTTTTTTTTTTTAATTAATGATTATTTAATTTCCCTTTGGATCAAATACACAATATTTATTCTCTTTTCAAATTTAGTACCATTACATAACTCTTATAAATATTTTTGTATCCTACAGAATATTGTTGAAGATAGCCTTATCCACTTCTTTAAACATGTTAAATGCATATCTAAACTATCCATTCTGAGGTACCATATTGCCTTAAGATCTTGTAGGTATCAACTCTAAGATTCTATTTTTTCCCCTTACTTTTATTGGGGGCTCTTACATCTAATATCACAATCCATACATTCATCCAGTGTGTCAAACACATTTGTACATAAGCCACCATCATCATTTTCAAAACATTCTCTTCCCACTTGAGCCTCTGATATCAGCTCCCCATTTCTTCCCCCTCCATTCCCCACCCACCCACCCTCCCTCACGAGCCCTTGATAAGTATAGATTATTATTTTCATATCTTACATTGTCCTCCGTCGCCCCTCACCCACTTTTCCATTATTCCTCCCTCTGGGAAGGGGTTATAGATTGATCCTTGTGATTGATTCCCCCTTTCTCGCCCCACCATCCCCTAATCCTCCTGGTATCTCTACTCTCATTGTTGGCTGGTAGCAGCTCTTCAGAGTTTCCTAGCCTGCTTTAATCGGTGCTTATCTCAAAGTTGTGTTAAGTCAGTATTCCTGACTTTGTGAAGCATTAGTATTCTTTCAGATGCAAATCCACAGGCCCACGCACCGTGCCCAGTGTGTCCAAGGTTTCTGCGGTCCTAAAATGTGATTTCCTTATGTTCATAACTCATTTGTGTATTAAATATTGACATGAAGCAGCATTGTCTGCTTTTTCCCCCAGTTTCCCTTCACCAAGAGAGTTAATACAGCGGAACAGTAATTCAAAAGACATATTCATAATTCATAACGAGTGTCAGCACAGCTGGATTTTCCTTTTCAAGCCAGAGTATTGCTAATCTTTCTCAGGTATGTGGTACATTTGTAACATTGGCTTTGATGAATATATATCTAAAGACCAAATGTAAGAATTCTCATACAAGAATTTTTCATAAGGTCTGGTTGGCTCAGTTGTGTGGGGCTCAGTGTAACATAGACAGAATATAACAGATTATCTTCCATATGAGTTACTTAACATTTGTTCCATTGAGTCCAATGAAACTTCCTTCTCTGCGTCATCCTTTTAAAATATGCATGCTATTGATCGAGGAGTAAAGATTTCTGAAGACCTGGATAAAAACAAGTTGTAGTAGTAAAGAATACAGTGTATGTATTTTCCTCCCTCCCCTTTCCTGATCACAACTTGTGATCACTCTTGACCAATCATCAGAATTAGGAAAATCAATCAGTGGTCCCATAAAATATTGTTAAGATTTTATTAATGATTCTCATTTGAAAGAAATCCCTCAGATGTTCCATGACTTGTGAAATTGCCTTCGTAAGACTTTCTCTTGGTTATTTTTTCCTGGTGTAAATTTTTTTCTAAATGACAGTCCACCTGGCTATGACTACTGCTATTGTTAGCTGCTTTTGTGTAGAAATCATGGGTGCTCCATACACATTGGAACAGAACAAACAGAGAAGAACAGAACACTGCCAGATTCTGCCCCACTCATATGATTGGTTGCTTATTGGACTATCATGATCCATAAGGTTTGCATTGGCTGATTATCAGAATTGTGTCACCTGGCCTGTCTGTCGTCTTTGTCCATCTTAGTCTGGAAGCTCTGTTGAAGCTGGTTCAGTATCATATGAACATGAATATCTCCACTGAGGGTGATAGCAGCACATGAAGTACATCGCTGCCCTCTCTCGTGAAAGGCAAGGATTCTACCAGCAAGGCAGCAATGCTAGCTATATCTCCTTTTCTTCTAGGAAGAACTGGGTAATTTTAAAAGCCCCCCTCCCCCTTCCCTCTGTGAGAGATATGTATATGTATAAACCACAACTGATTATTATCATGGTCTAAAAGTGTGGTAGAACTGCTTTCTAGAAGACACATCAATGTGGCAAATTGTAATTATAATAAACAGCACAGACAATGGCAGACTCTAATGATGGCTACCACTTTTTGAGTAAAACTCTTCTCAAGTTTGCTACATTATTTTTCTTTTGAAGCTCAGAACTAAATAACTTCATCAGTCAATATGTATAGAATTGTAATAAATGGATAGCAAAAAAACATAAACACGTTGATCCCATTCCTCTCTTTTAATGATCCAGTTACTTTTCTTGTGTCACTCCTGCCCCCATCCTCCTATGAGACAAATAACTGACTTCCAGCTGGGTGAGTTTGGATAACAGCAGAGGGTGGAATAGTGAGTAAAAAGCAAAAGGCAAATAAATAACATATTTTAATATAACATACAGTAATTTTATATGATTTTATATATATATATATATAAATATATATATTTGCCTCTGTACTATACTTCCACCCATTTTCTAAACTAAACTGAAATCAAATAAGAAATCTAAGGTACTGTATATGCAGAAAGCTACTGGTGGGGAATGAGAAGGAATGTAGTTATCTATGGGAAGAGATGTTACTGCTAATTAGTCTAGCTGTTTATTTCCAGAAAATAGCTGTTGATAGGATTTCTTGCCAGCAATTCTCTTGAGGATAGTTGCCCTTTGAGATAGATCACCCTGTGGGAATAAGCTTATAACTTGTGTTCAGTCAGCCCCCTGACTTTGCTCTCTTCCCTAAAAAACATTTAATCAGTCCCATCTTGTCCTCTCTCCCTTTACACTTGTGATCAGAGACATGAAGGACTCCAGTTTAGAGATTTTTCTAATGCAGCTTATTATAGACTACCTTCTTTTGTCAACCCTTCTAATTTTTTAGCCCCAAGTTATTGTATGCATTTAACAGGGCCTAACATTTTGTTTTATAGAATGTTGTAGAAAATAAAAAGGACTTCATATTCATATTTAAACAGATTATTTCAATCTGTTTAAAGATTAGAGAATTTAAAAAATAAATGATGGATTTGAGTGGTGATATTAATTCACTTACAAAATTCTACCCACTTCATTTTATATACTACACAGTGTTTTAAGCTTTGGAGATCAGGGTAAAGAGAGAGAAAACAAGACGTAATTTAATTCCTATCAGATACTAGTAAATGCTGAATGATATGATGAAATGAATAGGGTAGAGTGAATTTTGGGGAAAGCTTCCTAAGCACATTTTGGTGAGGATAAAAATGATGTGGTGTGACATGCCTGGCCTGACACCTTCCCACCCTCCCTCCCCACACTGGGGTGAAACACGAAGGGAGCACAACAGAGCAGCAAGGGAAACAAAGCAATGAAATCCCCAAGGAATCCTAAAAGTAGACTCAGGAGCAGGGCTTGGTACCTCATCAGACTTGATCAGAAAATATTCATCAACAAACAGACCTAGAACTATTTATGTGGGCTTTTTCTTTCTTTCTTCCATGTGTATCTATATAAGATAGGCAGGATAAACAATCCCAAGAATAAAACAATGGGACTGATGGTTTCAGAGTGACATGGGAGAGGGGAGGTGGTGGAAAGGAAGGAAGGAGGGGGAGCCAACAAATCTAGGGACAAGGGAACAAATGATCTAAAATTGATGGTACGAAGGGCATAGATTTCCTGTGGGGTTTGATCAAGTGCAATGTAGCTGAGAGGAATTACTGAGAGAATGAAGGTCAAACACAATAGTGGGACAGAAGGAAAGTAAAAGAAATAGAGGAAAGAACTAGGAGGCAAAGGACATTTATAGAGGTATAAATATAGGCATGCACATATGTAAATATATTAATATATAATAATAGGGAGATAGGTCTATGTACCTATATTTATATGTTAAGAATTAAGGTAGCAGATGGACATTGGGCCTCTACTCAAGTACTCCCTCTGTGTAAGAACACTTTGTTCTAATAACCTGATATTTTGTGATGCTCTCCTTCCTAACATGATCACTGAAGACAAAATGGGTGCATAAGCTAATTTGGTGAAGAAAGTTGATGGTGCCTGGCTATTAAAAGATATAACATCTGGAGTCTTAAAGGCTTAAAGATAAACAAGTGGCCATGTATTTGGAAAGAAACAATGCCCACATGGAAGAAGCACACCAGCCTATGTGATCACAGGGGGTTGACAAAATTGGGTATCAGTCATCAGAAGACACAAAACAATTATATCAATGAAAATGAGGGGGCACAGAGTGGAGAATGAAAGCCCATCTGTATACAATTGAACTTCCCCTCACAGAAGGGTCACAAGGAAGAAATGAGCCAGCCAGGGTACAATATAGCACCAAAAATACATACAACATTCCTCTAGCTCTTTAATGCTTTCTCCCACTATCATGACACCAGTTCTACATTACAAATGTGGCTAGACCAGAGCATGTGCAATGGTACAGATAATAGCTCTTGACACACAGAATCCAGGACAGATAAACCCCTCAGGAACAATAATTGGAGTAGTGATGCCATGAGGGTGGGGTGAAATTGGGGAGAGCAAGGAGGAACTGATCACAATGATTGACATATAACCACCCCCACCCCTACCTCCAAGTGATGAACAACAGAAACATGAGAGAAGGGAGACAGTGGATGGCATAACATAAAAAGATAATAATAATAATTCATAAGTTATTAAGGGTTCATGAGGGTGGGACGGTGAGGGAGAGAGGAAAAAAATGAGGAGCTGATAGCAAGGGCTCAAGTAGAATGAAAATGTTTTGAAAGAGATGATGGCAACATATGTACAACATATGCTTTACCCA